TTTCTCTCATAGATTGAAATAGAATATTCTGTGGAAATAATAGGATATATCTTCATTTAATAAATGGTTCGAGGAGATTTATCCGTAGAATTATGGCAGTTCAGATGGGAATTTATTGAGAATTCACCCACGATATTTGACTCTTAGACTCTGACAGCTGTAGATGAAAACCTGTGAAGCAGTGGGTGAAATTCTATCGAATAAAATCGGATGGAAAAAATCCAAATAGAGTGAGGTTGCGGTAAAATTACCCAAGGCCCTGTTTATAATACACCAGAATCCTAGAAAAGGAGCACCAAAGCCCTAAGAATAATTAATCATCTCTTTTACAGTAGTTCAATATTTAATATTATTGATAGACGATGGAAGCGTGCCAGCACGCTTTCTATACGTTATAAATCCTCTCTGATTTTGTTCGTTGTGTCACGCATGTAAAATTATTTAATCAACAAATTCACCAGTTAAATTGTGTTCAATAGGCCATACCCGTTTGCCCCGCGTCACCCAAATATCCACACGATTTATTTATTTATTATTTTTAACGGAATCCCTTGCAATTTTGCATCTGACATTGTCACGTCGAGTTGTTCACAGGAAGTGTACGTCTTAATCTTATTGTCCGCTTTATTTAGAAGACTGCCATTGAATAGAGTAATTCAATTACTGGGGGACAAAAAGATGTGGTGAAGTCTCTGGATGTATAAAATAATGACATTTCGTTCTTTATTCTTTAAAAATTAAAAAATTCAACATAACGGACAAATGTGTCAGAGCCAAATTTGCATAAACAATTGAATTTATGTAATTGATAAATTATTTGACATTTTAATTCATCTGTCGATTTGATTGTCTTTTAATTGAAAATTTTTACGGAATTGAATTTCTGTAGTTTTTTGGATTTTAATTCCGTGTCTATTGTTTTTGCATTGTCAATTTGCGCGACACTACTGTATAAAACTAACAACATTAGACTTTCTGGTAATACTTATGTACAATCCAGTGTTGTATGCCTTTGCCGCATTTTGATAATCAATTATTGAGCAGCTCGTGAATAGTTATATCTGCATTGATGCACTACTCTTGCTTTTATCGTTTTTTTTTAACAACAAATTAATCCGGAGATTACGTCCCATTGTCTTGGGGCCTCGGGATTTTGAGGTCTCGATTTTTAATCTGGCAGCAGCCAACTGTGTGTCCATCTTGGAACAGCCAGTGAAAAGTTAAAGTGGAGATGTACTATTGTCTGGCACAGATGTGTCTCGGTTCAACGAATTTAGCAGCTCCTCGTTCTCCTTCCGAACTGCAACAAATAATTTTTTTTTAAGGTTGAGATATTCTGTTAAAGGGATTTTGATTTTTGTTGGTGGATCCAGGGAGTGACGAGGGGTCTGGGTCAGTCTCACTGATTGAGAG